ATAATAAGAGATGGAAAGATAAATCTAAGAAGATCGTGAAATCCTCATGTATTTCATTATGTTTGAAAACATCCAGAAGACAACAGGAAGATTTCACATGTGAAGAGGATGAATTTACTTGAGGAAATTGAAATGAAGACTTATATTACAAGGAAGAAGTGTAAGTTTCTAATCTAGAAAAACCGCAGTATTTTGGACAAGAATCACGATACCTATTCATAACAGAAATACTTTTTCTAAGTTTCTGTTTCCAAGTGGGAATAAAATCACTCTTGGTAGCCGGGCGCTGGTGGCAGTTCAAAGCCAGCCCGGGCAGGAGAGACCGTGAGACTCCTATCTCCAATAAACCACCAGAAAACCGGAAGTGGCGCTGTAGCTCAAGTGGTAGAGCACTCGCCTTGAGCTGAAGAGCTGAGGGACAGCGCCCAGGCCCAGAGTTCAAGCCCCACGACTGACAAAAAAAAAAAAAAAAAAATCATTCTTGGTATCACTGTGCAAACCAGTTCAAGGTGGCTCAAAGGCGTAGTGAAATTTACTTAAAAAATGTGAATTTGGGCTGGAGTATAGCTCAAGTGGTAGAATGTTTGCCTACCAAACGTGAGGCTCTGAGCTCAATTCCCAGTTCTGCAAATTAAACAAAACAAAAATAATTTTCACCATTATTCTATGTAAACAGGATGCCAATTTAATCTACATTATTATTCATGAGAATTACTTGTAAGAATTATCTCATTACAGACAACTACCATCCTAAACCTTAACCTATTTGTACCTCTAAGGCAAAGACAAATGAAATGCCCATTCTAAATTCCCTTTAAGCAATGGAAATCGTGAAAAAAGAAAAAATAAAGTTTAGAAGGGTCTAAGAAAACGGTAGCAACTTCTTTCAAGGCAGTGATTCATGTATGAAAGTATGAATTAAAAACCTTAACCTAACTATTATAAAGGCTAAATACCAGGAGTAACAAGTTGAGAGGTAAATCCTCCAAATTTAATCTAGAAGATATAAAACTTTTTCTAAGAAATTTCAACAGTAAATACATTTTCAAGCTCTGCAGGGCATGAACTCAACTTTATCATTAGAGTACAAAGAAACCATAAACAGTACCTAAATGAGGGCTATAATGTACTCAGTGGTAGAGTACTTGCCTAATATGCTTAAGCACATGGGTTCAATCGCCAGCACCAATCCTATCCCCAAAAGCCCCAAACAAAACACACCTAAACTAATAGGTGTTTCTATATATATATATACACACACACACATATATATACGCACATATACAGATATATACGTATATATACATATACATGTGTATACACATGTATATGTATATGCATATGTATATACTTGCGGTGGCCTTTAGATTTGACTTAGGGGCTATGGTTTGCTGAACTCTGATCTAACTCATAAGCCTTAAGAACATACTTTGGTAAGAGAGAATTTTTAAAACTGTAATTTACCTGACAATTTGTCGTCCCTTTTTTTAAATCTCACCTATCAAAATATTTCAATTTTTAAACTCCCATGTGGCATAAGAGATACATTTTCAAAGACTAATTCTTTCAACAAATAAGTATACAGATAATGGGAAGAATATATGAGGAAGAGAAAACAAAACATGCTTTTTTATCTGAACAAAGGAAAATTCAAAGGTTTTCAGCATTTTTGTGACTTTACACTGTGACTCAAATGACTGCTATCTTAGCTCAATTCAATTGCCTTTCCATTATTCATTACTTTCATTTCTTTGAATTAGATCTAATCAGAAACATAGTTTTTACCAGTTAAATGAAAAACAATTAGTGTCAAGTAACAGCTAAAAATGTGAAATTTATCTCTGACTAGAGAATACTCAGCTATTAAAAATGAAGGTTGGGAAGTAGAAGTGTGTGGCTCAAGTGGTAGGGTACCATCCTTGAGCAAAAAAGCTAAGTAAGAGCACAAGGCCCTGAGTTCAAGCTCCAGTACAGACACAAACAAAACAAAACAAAAACAAGAATGAAATTCTGGATTTTACTCTTCTACCAAACAACTTCCAAACCAAAGCCAGACTTCAGATTGTATAACTGGAGTAGTAGACATGACATGGAAAGCCCTATTTTGGTGGCAGACGTACAAGAAACTGGAAACTCGCATTAAGAAGAAAAAGAAAAAGAAAAAACCATAAGAAAACTTTCCTTAATTGCTCTCTTTTTTCCAATCTCTATTCTTTACAAATGAACTCATTTTCATGTAGTCAAGATTAAACTCTTTAGTACAATAAGGTGTTATGGGGGTAATTTGCAACTTATGCATACACACAAAAATCAACTCAATCCAGAGGTAAATATGGTTCTGGTAAGAAGAGAGTAAGTCACTAGAAAGAGTCTTTCTGCCTAAGTACAGTGCATTGTCTATTAATGCTGTATTTTTATACTGGTATCACAATTCAGAGTGAATAAAGGTGTATTTAGAATAATAAGAGATTAATAGGTTGCCATCTCTCTTCTTTTGTAGAGAATACTGGATAGCTCTGCTATTATGTGTGACTCAATACAGTTCCAGTGTTAGCAGTTTCATGTCATTAAGGTAATGATGACCTAGCCCTCATTGCTAATGCAGTTCCCCTTACCAGGTGACACGTACAAGTTAAGATCTAGTAAGGAATTTTCTGCATCCGTTCGCGTCTATTTAGTATATCCTTCAGAGGTATTCTCCATGTACACATACCAATATGATGTACATAGAACATTACAAACTCCTTTGACCTACAGTGATGTTAGCTAAGAACTAGAACAATGTCACAGTGAACTTGGATAAGAATCCTGGATAGCCTCTTTAATAATCTCCTGTAAGTAAAACAGGGAAATTAGTTTCAGAAACTTGGTTGAAAATATAGCCTGGCTTGTACTTTCATGAATTTCATGACTCCGGCGAGGCCAATTGAGAGGAGAGAACCAGCCAACAGGATGTGTGGTCCTAGATGACGGAAGCACCCGTTCACAGTATCAATACAGTACAAACCAACTACAGGTGAATGCAGAGGGAAGGGAGCCCACCAAACAGGCGTAAGGTTTCCACATGAACCTGACAGTCCCTACTTCATGGAAGATGTCTGTCACTTAGCCTGGATGGAGTGTTGATAAATGCTGCAAAGTTTCTCTTTATAAAAATTACTGCACTTCGCCATTACAGCTTGGTAATAGTTTAAAAAGCTCTATTTTCTCCTATGTAATCTAAGACACTAACAAAACAATGAAGACTGCTGTGACAAACATACATGTCAAAAGAATAGTGGACTTAAATTTTTTTTAGGTAGGCTTAAAAGCTCCATCTAAAGAATCATCTTCTGTACTTCTCAGCTCCTTGCCTATTTAGTAATGGCAAAGTCTGTTCACTGAAAGCCTTGATTCCCCACTGAAAAGTTTCCCTAAGCATTTCAGTCAAATTTCAACTCTGCTTTTTTCTATGTCACAAAGCACAGCCAATTCCTAAGATAAATCAAGGAGACAGTTTTCATCCAGTCATGTTGTTACCCAACTCACAGCAGGAAGTCCCAGTCCATGCCTCCTAATGACAGAATACAGCTTTAAAGCTACAGTTAAGAATAGGTTCTTATCAAATGGTAGCATTACATTCCTCCAAAAGATGCATTTCTATACTTGACCAGAAGAGAAAACTTTTCTTTAGTGATAAGAGTGCAGCTGTGTATATATATGTATATATATATATATATATGTGTGTGTGTATATATGTGTATATATACACACACACACACACACACACACACAATTCTCAGATTGCTTAAAGCTACCCTTTGCATTCTAATTTAACACTAAAGTGTCATTCTGTTCTAGCTATCTTTCCTCATATCACAAAGCATTCTCAAGAAAGAAGCACACAGACTAACATTCTCACACGTGGCTCACCAGAGCAGGGATGACTGGCCCCTCCCAAACCTCTTTTACAATCATCTACGCCTCCATACCAAAACAATCCATAAGCCATTAAATATTTAAGTATTACACAGAATCCATCAAGAGAAGATAGAGATTTGTTTTCTCTCTTCTGTTTGCACTGGAGGATGCAGGCAACCGTCTGCCTGTAACCCTCATTATTCCTCCTCCTCCCTGCATGCAAGACACAGCAGCTAAAGCTGTGCGTGTTTGGTAAGTTCTTTCTCTTAGTGCTGGAATAAGAATCTCAGAGAAACTCAGAATTACTAAAAAAGGTCCCTTGAAGTTTTAAAAATCTTAGGAATGATTAAGTAACCAAACCTGATCAAAATTGATCCCGTGATCATTTATTGCAACACAGTTGTGCATGATGTCTTCTGATAAGTGCCCTGTAGTGTATTATTTAAAAAAAAAAAAAACAAAGCTCTTGGAGTCACCATCAATTTGCTGATGGCTGGTTTATGAATTCTCATGTTTGTAGACCCGAGACATAGACTTAAGTGAGGTTCTTCATTGGACTAAAAATATAAACTAACATAGAAAGAAATGAAACTGTGGTTGCAGTAAGAAGAGTTTGAATTCTTTACCTATGATATTGCAGAAAAAAATGTGTTTCAAACTTCATATAAAAGTTATCAAATATGGAGACCAGTGGCTTTAAAAATGTAATCCAGGCTTATTTCACTGAAAAGTGACGTTTCTGATGTGCAATATTGCTGTTCTGTGAAACTAGGAGCCACAGGAGGCTGGATGAAACTTTGGTAGTCAGCCTAACAGGTTTATTCACTCTGGACTAGAGCCATTCCCTTGAAACTCAAGGATGCATATAGATATAACTTCATAAATAGCAGTCAGGCAGTTGCAACAGGCTCTGTGCTACTCTGTATCAAACATAAAAACCAGTTCCTTTTTTGCTCCTCTTTTCCTTAGCACAACAATCAAGCCCCCAAATGTAGCAGTACCTACTGCAAATACCTTGCTGCTCCATTTCACTTCTACATGCCTAAAGTGCTTCCGGTGATGCTGCCCATTAGAATACTGCTCCAAGATGGCTTATGACGTGAAGCAATCAGGCAAAGTATTAGATGCCTAGTTAGGGCAAAGATAATGTCTAACCTTTCAGAACAGTAAGAACCACCAATCTTCATTCACTTTGTTCTTCTGAAATGTGAAGATGCAAGTGTGGCAGGGAAGGGAAAAGGAGGCATTCCTCCTCACTATCATGACTACCTTCTCTCTCTCTTTGTTGGTTGCTTTAGATGGCCAAGGCTCCTGTTCCATTTTTTTTTTTTTTTTAAAGATCTGGGCAGTAACAGCCACCAAGATGATATGGATTGAAGTACAGTGTTCAAACATGAAGGGTAGATAAATGATCATTGATCAGTTTTGTTTAAAAAAGGTATTTTTTTCTTATAAAGTTAACAAACCAAGGCTGTTGATCCCTGAATTAGAAAGTTGATTTGCTCAATTATTTTCCAAAGTGTGGTGTGGGAATGAGGCGGGTAGAGCTTTTAGTGCTTTTGTGTACTGCCGATCCTCTAGTTTGGCAACATCTTGGAAGCAATCTTCTGGTCTCATGATGTGGCATTTTGTGAAGCTAAGTACCAGTCCATGGCCCTGATATGGGCTGCGTACAGCCCAAGGGGAAGAGGGTCTGCCCCTTCCCCCTCACTGTTTCAATCTGGCCCAGTAGTGGACACAGAACCCTGGGCAGTTTCCCCAGGAGCAACTGTCTCTTCCTGTGAAGGTGACTCTTCTTCACCTTGTCCTCGAGATGTGACAGTCGTCTCAGGAGAGATGCTGTGCGGCCCCTCCAGCGGTATACAGCCAGGGTGGTTTTTGCGAAAGTGCTGATTCAGGATTGCCTGGAAGGGGAAGCTTTTGCCACAGACATGACAGTGAAAGGGCTTGTTGCCTGTGTGCTTTCGGATGTGATACTCTAGCTGATCTTTCCTAGTGTACTTCTTGCCACACATACGGCAGACGAATGGTGTGATCCCCATGTGTAAGCGCATGTGACGGTCCAGACTCCCTTTTTGGTTGAAAGATTTGGCACAATAGATGCAGGTAAGACGGGGGTTGTACCGGAACCACCGCTCGGATACTTCCTGCTCTCGGAGATATTCTACATAGCCACTTACTCCCATCATTGCTGACTCTTCTACCTGAAAAATGAGCAAGAATGAACCTGGATCATTAAACACACATGTTAAGAGCAATCAAATCCACTTTTACTTGTTACCAGCTACATGTGTGTGAGCATGCGTGTATGTGTATGTGTGCGCATGTGAGCATGTGTGTATATATGTAATACTAGGGATGGAATCCAGGGCCTTTCACGTGCTAGCCAAGTTTGACACCAATGAGCTATATTCCCAGACTTTACATTCTTACTTCTAATGGAAAGACCAACAGAAAATAACAAAAAAGCATATTAACATTAAAACTTAAGAAAAACCTGAAGACATTACCCTATTGACACAAAATGGGAGCAAAATATTTAATTTCTGGCTAACAAACCAGATGCTTATTAAATCTATGCTGATTGTATTATTTTACATGAAAAGGAGAATCTGAACTCAACTGAATCACACCTTGAATCCTAGTCTTATAATTACAAACCAGATAATGAAGTGCTTGGATGGTGATGGGCCAAAAGAATTTTTTGTGATGACTGCAATGTTCTATAATCTGTACTAGTCAGCATGAAAGCTACCAGCAATATGTGGTTATTGTACATTTGTATATGGCTAATGCAACTAAGGAAGTGAGATTTTAGTTATTTCAATTAATTAAAGTATCAACTCAAATAGCCACATGATATATAGCTATTATATCAACTAGCAGATAGTTACAGAAATAGATAACGGCAAGTACAATATAAATGACATTTATGAGCCAAGTTCTGGTGCTTACATCTATAGTATTCACTGATGAGGCTGAGATTTCAGGATCACAGTTCAGAGACAGCCAGGGTAGACAAATCCTTAAGACCCTATCTTCAACTAACCAGCAAAAAACTAGAACTGAAAGCATGGTTCAAGTAGTAGAGCACGAGCCATGAGCAGAAAATGCTGAGCCTGAGGCCCTGAATTCAAGCCACAGTACCAGCACACATAGGAAAAAAAATGACAGGTGCTGGGAATGTGGCTTAATGGTACAATGCTAGCCTTGCATGCATGAACCCCTGGGTTTGATTCCTCACTACAACATACACAGAAAAGGTTGGAAGTGGTGCTGTGGCTCAAGTGGTAGAGTGCTAGTCTTGAGCAAAAGCAGCTCAGGGACAGTGCCCAGGCCCTAAGTTCAAGCCCCAGGACCAGCAAAAATAAATAAATAAATAAAAATATTTAAAGAAATCAAGGCTGACTTGCAGTTAACTAGAGAAAGATTAATGTAGTTAGCAATTTACTTTGTGTCCTTTTAATTTCTAAATATGTGTTTTGCCTACTTTCTCACATGCTAGCTGGCAGTGTTTATCAGCATTTCAAAAAAAAAAAAGGAGTTCTCAACAAGTTTGGGAAGCAGGATGTGAAGTTTAGGGTTGCACAGTGAGACTAAGGTTTAAGACATGACTGGTTTTATATAGAACACTTCTTTTGTGTCATTCCCCTGTATCATTAAAATAGAAGTCACATAAAGGATGAAGGATTTCCTCACTAAAAAAATCTTAGGTCACCAAGGCCAAAGCAGTCAATATTATTATTATTATTTTGTTGGTGGTGGTTGTGGGGCCTGACCTCGGCCTAGGCGCTGTCCCTCAGCTCTTCAGCTCTAGGCTAGCGCTCTACCACTTGAGACACAGCGCCACTTCTCTCTCTCTCTCTGCATGTATGTGATTATACCGATCTATCTCTATTTGGGGGGGGCGGTGTTGGTCCTGGGGCTTGAACTCAGGGCCTGGATGTTACCACTTGGGTCATAGCTTTACTTCCAGCTTTTTTGGTAGTTAACTGGAAAAAAAGAGTCTGACGGACTTTCTTTCCTGGGCTGGCTTCTTAACCTTGTTTCTCAGATCTCAGCCTCATGATTAGCTAGGATTACAGGCATGAGCTACTGGAGCTCAGGTCCTTGAAAAATATACTTTCTAAAAATGGTATTTCTTTTCTTTAGAGGCAGGGTCTCATTACATTGCCCAGTTGGCCTCAAACCCTTACGTTCAAGCTCTCCTTTTGCCGCAGCTGTCTGTGTAACCTGAGAGAACGACTCATGAACCAATTCACCCAGCTACTTGGAAATATTGAATGAATGCATAATACTACTACCTAGCAATGAAGATGCTGAAACTTGGATTCAAATCTGAGTTCTGTTGTTTATGTAACCATGGGCAAGTTTTGACTGTATCCCTTTATTTTCTCATCTAAAAATTGAATATAACAACAACATCCTCACATATTGCTCTGAATACTGAATGATTAACGCAATGAAGTACTGCAGATTAATAACTATTAGCTATTAGTATTAAGCATAACAAAAATCGTACACACACACATATATATATATTATACAACGCATATGTATAACATACTTATATGTGAATATTTTATGCCATTTCCTCCCCGTTTGATAATACCTGGCCAACTTCAAATTTGTTTTCTCTATGGCTTTGAGGGCATATTTCCCTAAAACAATTTCCAAACTTTAAGGAAAGTATTGTCACACCAATATTGTCCACATGCAGCAAGTACCATATTTTAGTAATCACTGATGAACTATGATCATAAAAATTACACACTAGGGGCTGGGAAGGTGCGCTAACCCTGAGGCGAAGAGCTGAGGGCCAGCGCCCAGGCCCAGCGTTCAGGCCCCACAACCAACAAAAATAAAAATTAAAACACACACACACACACACACACACACACACACTATCAATCTCATTTTAAAAATTACTACAGTAAAATTACAAAAAATAAAAATAAAAAATGGCTGTCTCCTGGTTTTCTCTGTCTCCAAAGGTGGATCATTTCACTCTTTTTTTTTTTTTTTTTTTTGCCGGTCATGGGGCCTGAACTCTGGGTCTGGGCGCTGTCCCTCAGCTCTTTAGCTCAAGGCTAGGACTCTACCACTTGAGCCACTGGGCTACTTCTGGCTTTTTCTGCTGATGTGGTGCTGAGGAATGGAACCCAGGGCCTCATGCATGCAAGGCAAGCACTCTACCGCTGAGCCACCTTCCCAGCCCCTTATTCCACTCTTATGTGGTAATTTCTTGTTAGATTGTAGGCACAGATGCACAGTCCACATTGCCAGGATGCCAAGAATTCAATCAGTGCTTAGCTTAGTAACTATTACTTAATAAATAGTACTATATAATGGATAAATTCCATACATATGAATAAGTTCCATATTTTCTAGGTCATACTTAACATGGACTTCAAAGCCATCCCTTTAATTTTTCTTTCTTGTTAGTTGTGGGGTTGAACTCAGGGCTTGGATGCTGTCCCTGAGCTTTTTCACTCAAGGCCACTTTGAGTCACAGAGCTACTTCCACTTTTCTGGTGGTTAATTGGAGATAAGAGTCTTTCCTGCTTGGACTGGCTAGGAATCCCCACCCTCCGATTGAAGACTCCAGTGTAGCTAGGATTACAGGTGTGAGCCACTGGCACCCGGCTCCTCACTCTATAATTATTAACAAAGACTCAAATTGAAAGGGCCTCAAAAATCATCCTATTTAGCAGCACGAGGCATAGCTCAAGTGGTAGAGATCCAGCCTCCTTAGCACAAGGCTCAGAGTTCAAACCCTAGTACAGCCACATAAATTTTAAAAATCATCCTAATTAGTGTATTAATTTTAGTTAAAACTTTCCAAGACTGGAGATTTCAGTTTTTACTACCAAACTGGGGATTTCACATGAAATAAGTCTGTATTTAGTAAATGCAGCACTCTTTGTCTAAGTATTCTCTATGATATTTGCATAATGACAAAATAAACCATTTTTGTACTTATAAGTAAAATTCCCATTAAGACACAGAGGTACATAGAAGGTTAGAAAATATTGTCTCTGCTTTCAAGATTTCAATGTAACAGGAAACATAAAAAAGAATACAAATAAGAGTAACTTAGATGAGTTACGGCAAAATTAGGAAAAGTGAGAGGCTGGTGATTCAATTCAGTGGAAAAATGCTTGCCTCAGCAGCGTGAGCCATGGATTGATCCCCAACACCAGGAGGAAAAGAAAAAATTCTATTGCACTGTGTATAATGGCTATAATGATTTAAGAAGGGAAGATCAAAGAACACTGGCTTAAACAGAAATAGGAATTAGGCATTGAGTAGATCCAGGAAGAACGAGGAATCTGAGATTCAAAACAAAGAGAAAAATAATTTGATGGATTGTTACATAGAGAAAATTTACCTGCTTGAGAGAGTGAAAGCTGATGAGTAGAGGAAAAGTTGAATTAGAAAGATTGTAACCTACATGGCTAATCAAGTATTTTTACCTTTCATGTGAAAGAGTCAGAAAAATAAAAGACACATGCACACAAAATACACATTCACAAAAATGTCTAATTTACAAATATATAATACTGGATATAAATTAGTAACTCTACGAATATACATAGTACATATGCACATATGCGCGCGTGCACAAGTGTACACACGCATGCGCACACACACACTCATGCACACAAAACTAGAACGTAGTCTCGCACGTGCACACACACACTCACTCACACACATACACACACACACAAAACCAGAAGGTAGTCTAAGTCCTAAGTCATCTCCAGGTAGTATTTAGGGGTTAATTTAGAGGTCTCTATGATGAAAACAGAGTTGCATAATATTTTTTTTTCTACTTCCGAAACTCTTCTAGGATGTTCATGGGTATAGAAGAAAAGTAATCATTCTATTTAGGAGGTGGAAATTGGGAGCTCTGAAGTTTGATGATAGCTGAGCAAAATATTAGCTGGGCATGTGGCACACCTTGGTAATCTTAGCTGTAGGGTAGGCGTGAATGGGATCATGATCCAGGCTGGCATGGGAAAAAACCTTCTTCAACACATAACTAAAATAACACAAAAAATGTGGCTCCAGTGGTAGAGCACCTGCCAAGCAAGTTCAAGGCTTTGTGTTCAAACCCCAATATTACAGTATTTTTTGATACAGCTTCCCTTTCTTAGTATATCTGATCATATACATAGTGAAATTCCTTCAACAAATACAACAGTTTCAACAACGACATACCTGGGAGCTGGGTTGCTTAGGCTCATCCATTCTCCCAGGAGATTCACTTCTGGCTCTGTGTCTCTCAGTCATGGGAACAACACTGCCGGACGGGCTAAATCTGTTAGAAAAGGCGCATAAAAGGGACTAACTTCTATTAGTCCAAACAACTTGAAAAATGGTGCTGTTTCCCCACTTTATCTTATAACTAAGGTGGGAGGATCAAACCAAGCAACAGTAATGGGGAACTAGTGTTTTACAGAATCAGTATAAGGGCTGATTTAAAGGCAAGAAAAGTTTATCCTAATAAATTTTAAAACATACAAAATGACATAGCAATAGCCCATATGAGAAGGTATAGCTACAGCTAAATATAAGCTATCCACCTAAGTTCTGGGAAAAGGGTGAAAGAACAAATGAAAACGGGGTCTCTAATTTGGTTCCTTCTGTGCACCTATTGGATTTTTGGTTGTTCTTTCCCTCTATATCCAGCCTCCGGCTAGACATAGATCATGGAGATGAAGAATCTTTGCCTTTACCTGGTACGACTTCCAATACAGTACTTAACACAGGAAGTCAAACAGTTCTGTGCTCAAGAATATTTGAATAACTAATGGCACTTAATGGATATTCAAATCAAGACCACCTGAGTGGCTACTTTATACTACTGCTATCTGTTAACAAATGGTTTCTCAAGATCCCCTGTAAACTGAAGTAATAGCTTCTTTACTTCTCATTCTTTTTTTTTAATGTTTTTTTTTATTGTGAAAATACTGTACAGAGGGGTTACAATCACATGGGCAAGGTAATCAGTACATTTCTTATCAAGCATTGTTGCCTCCTCCTTTGTTTCCCCTACCATCCCTTACCTCCCATCTCCACAACTACATCCCTCGCCCCCCATTCTTCAGTTCTCATTAAGGTCAATCCTGGGGCTTAAACTCAAGGCTAACTGTACAACTTAAGCCACAGCTCCACTTCCAGCTTTTTTTTTGGTAGTTAATTGGAGATAAAGGTCTCAAAAACTTTCCTGTCCAGACTGGTTTCAAACCACTATTCTTGGATCTCAGTCTTCTGAGTAGCTAGGAATACAGGCATGAGTCAGTGTCACTCAGCCTTCAATCTCTTTTTAAGGGAAAAGAACAGGGAGGGGACTGGAGTTATGACTCAAGTAGTAGAGTGCCCGCCCAGCAATTGCAAGGCCGTAATTCCCAGTACTACCAAAAAACCCGAAACAAAACGATATTACCAATGTGTTAGTAATATTTCTATCAATTGATGTAGATTAAAACTTGTCCTATTTTCCCCAAGAAGAAAAATTATAACAAACTCAATATTATTAGAAAGACAGGCAACTAGCAGTGGGGGAAAAAAAGAGGACAGTGGAAGCAGCAGCTACCCACGAAAGAAAACAGGAAAGACAGCACTAAAGAACACTGGAAGACATCAGAAAGGTTTTCCCTGTAAATGACCAATCACTGATAGGGATATTTCCTCTAATTTGGCAGGTGTGGCCAAGTAAAACGGAGCGACTCCCCGAAGACGCCCTCTGTGTGTAAGAACACACCAAAGGCAGGGCGGTGCGGCTCCAGGCTGACGATCAGCTCCCAGTCTAGAATGGTAAGGAAGCCCTGGCAGTCACTGATGTTAGCGTGACTGCACATGCTATTCTGATTCTTGGGAGTGTCTAACTTTACCAGAGTTCTCACACTATAGTGAATACTTCAGGATTAGGAGCTTCTTGCTGAAAAAAAAAAAAAAAAAGAATGCAAGTTTGGGGGCATACTTCAAGTTTCCCCAATGTTCACTTATTTTGGCTAAGATCAGGTAAAGCCGATCATCAGTAATGATGTCAGCATGGCAGCTGTTAGACAGAGGAACCATGCAACTCACCTGTCAACTTCACTGCTTGTGGGCCTAGCCACCTTGGCTCCTGAAGACCCTAGGGTGTAACTGTCCTGTCCTACGGAGCCGTGGCCCGTGGTGTCAATCACCATGGCTGTGACCTCCTCGGCGCTACTCCCGTCTTCTCCAGAAGGCTGATTCTCAGGCCCCAGCCATTCCTCTAGATTTTCCGTCTTGATGTGCACCGCTCCAAGAACCCTCACTTCATCATCGCTTGGGCCGCCCCGGTCTGCCACTCCCGTCTCCACATACCACTGTCCTGCTCGGTTGATACGAAGAATGGGCTCCCGGCTCTCTACATCAGAACTCTGCTCAATTATCTGAGGGCTGGTAGATTCCTCAGGGGGACTTAATTCTCGGATATCCAGCACAGCACTAACCTGTCCTCGGCGGTTTCCCTTTTGGGTATTATGTCGTGGGCTAAGTGAGCGGTTTAAATTTGGCGTGACTCTGTGAGACTCTGGAGGTCTCTCTTGATGCTTTGTCCTAGTTTGGCTTAATTCTGCTTCCACCTCAGCCACATTGATTTTGAAATGAATGCCCTCCAGGATTTGTGTACACTTATCTATAATATGCTGCATCTGCAGAAAACTAGCAGCTGTTAGGTAACTGATGATATCAGCCAGTTGCAGGCATATCCGCCCTGTGTAACAGAAAGAAAGGAGCTGTTCAAAAACAGTAGGGTTCTTGATGACAGAAATGGAGACAGTACTCATCTCATTCAAGGACATGTGGTCCCGGAAATAGGGGGAGCTGGCAGCCAGTACTACTTTGTGAGCCCGGAAAGCTTGTCCTTGTACATTGACCACAATATCACAGAGGCGGCCCTGCATGCGCAGCTGGTTTAGATGGCTCAGGACAGAATTGCTGAAGTCAGGGATCTCCAATTGTATGTTCCCACTTTTCTCCATGGTCGTGCCTGAAGGAACAGGCAGGCATTCAACCCTGCTGAAAGAAGAAATGATGTTCTCATTAACAACCTTACTCTCCTGATACTTTCTAAAATATAGTCTGGTAAACATCCTAAAGCTTTGAGCATGGAGTACAGCTCATGCCTGTGATAGCAGGGCTCTGGAGACCGAGGCAGGAGAGCCATGAGTTTTAGGCCAACTTGGGTATGGTAGCAAGACTCTGTCTCCAAAAAAAAACAACTTTAAAATCTTGAAGTACAAAGACATACCTTATGTTTAGATATAAAAGAGTCACTCACAGATTATTTTTAATCTAGATTTTACAGCAAAATACAGTGAAAAGAAAAAAAAGCTAACACCAGACTGCTAAACAATTAAGCTATATATATATATATATATATTTTTTTTTTTTTCTTGTCAGTTGTGGGGCTTGACTCAGGGACTCAGCACTGTCCCTGAGCTCTTTTGCTCAAAGGCTAGCACTCTACCACTTGGAGCCACAGCACCACTCTGCTGTTCTGATGGTTAATTAGAGGGAAGTCTCATGGATTTTCCTGCCCAGGTTGGCTTTGAACCTTGATCCTCAGATCTCAGCCTCCTGAGTAGCTAGGATTACAGGCATGAGCCACCAGCGGCCCAGCTTATATTTTTCTTACTAATAAAGTATAGAACAAGGTTCAACAAAAGGGATGGTGAGGTATTAATCATACAGTAGCTGCAGGCTAAATATAAAAATTCCTTGACAACTTTTCTATGAAGGAGAAGAGAAAGTTTCTTGAGTACATGCAATTATATACAGATGAATGGACTAGATATTACTACATGCAGCATGAGTTACATTTATTACTTTATAAAGTGATTAATATCCCACATGAATGTAGGCCAGTATTTTAAAGCTTACCAGAGTTCCCACAAAAAGCTTTGGGATATGGGACTCTGAGGCAAACTCTAGGTTAGGAAAAATTCCACCACTCTTGTCAAGACTCAATCAAGATGCAGAGAACTTCTATCCTCCAAGGCTGGCATTCTAGATGTGTGCTGGCACATCTCACTTGATGAACCTTTAATTACCTTTAACTAAAAACAAAAAAAAAAAAGAAAAGAAAGAACGATGCAATAACTTGAAGCCCAGTTCTCAGAAAAGAGTAAGTAAATCTGCTCTATCCAAATTCGAAGTTGGGGAATTTCACGGTGGTGATCATGTATTGATTTGGAAAGTTCCCTGGAGCTGGTAGACACAAATGCATTTACAAGCATGGTCCAAACTTAAAAAGACTGCCGTGGTTACCAATCTAGTTTGTATAAATCCCAAGAGGACGGCAAGGCTTTCACTGCCACGGGCTTCTCTAAGTTTAGATCGCAGAGTGACCTTGAGGAATTCATCGGGGACCAGTACACACGGGGTTCCCGCCTTGGCGATCAATAGGGAAGTGCAACTACTCCTTTCAAGAACTAACTTTAGCCAATCTGACCTTTTTCCAAAGCGTTATTGTTTGTTTTGGAACTTTTACTCCCGTAAGAGGCTCGGTCGACGCCATCAGGAATTCGGATGAGTTTATTTTGGAGCCTTTTTTGTTTGTTTGTTTGCTCTGTCCGGCAATTCCCCAGTGAGGAGGAGGCCCGGGAGGACAGTCTTTCTCTAGCGTCGGCCCTGGAGGGGTGAAGCTGGAAGAGGGAGAACGGGGAACGGATGGGTGTGGACGTGGGGAGAGGGGTGCTCGCTCGGCGGGGCGGGAGCCCGGGAGGCGCGGGGAGCCCGGAGCGCGGCCCGCAGCCGCCCGC